GTCATGCTAAGAGTAAAGACATGGTTTGTTATTCTAGGTAGTCACTGGGGTCACATGAGTTGGGGTCATGCTAAGAGTAAAGACATGGTTTGTTATTCTAGGTAGTCACTGGGGTCACATGAGTTGGGGCCATGCTAAGAGTAAAGACATGGTGCACTGGGAACAGCAGCCAGTGGCGCTGATGGAGGCAGACGGAGTCATGATCTTTTCTGGCAGCGCCGTTGTTGACACAAACAATACTTCTGGGTTTGGAAACAAAACACATCCACCTCTTGTAGCCTTGTATACCGGATTTGTAGAGTAAGTTTTTTTCTTTTCCTTTTTTCTTTTCTTTCTTTCCTCTTATTTATTTATTTATTTATTTATTTATTTATTTATTTTTAAAGACACCCCTTTATTTGTATTCTGGATTGGTACAGGTACAAGTTGGACCAGTTTCCAGGCTAAAATTTGATTGTGAAACAAGCTCTGCTAGCTTACAAAGCTTTATTATTTCCTGTACCTTTTACCCTTCCACTTGTTCTCATTTTAACTCTTATTTTTTATTTGTCATTTTATAATTATTTTAAAATGGATCATTTTATTTTCACATCAGACATTCATCTTTGAATAGTTTATGTATCAATTTTAAGAGCTCAGACAGAAACCAATTTCTGATGTATTTTTTATGGTGTAATTCTTTGATTTTTTAAATGGGAAAATGTAATAATCCTGACAGAAAATCCATTTTGATCAATTATATCGAAATACAACATTGTCCAGTGACCTCACATCAAATAGATTAAGTAAAAATCCAAGTTTCTTGGATGTGTTAAACCTAGGGTACATTTACCAAGCAATGTTTGTACAGTGTAAGTATACGGCCCATAAATATAAGCTTCATAAATTAGTGTGATTATTATCACAGGTCAGATAAAATCCAAGATCAGCGAGTAGCTTACAGCAATGACAATGGCATGAGTTGGATTAACTATGAAAATAACCCAGTTTTAGACCGCCACAGTGAGAATTTTAGGGATCCAAAGGCAAGTATGTGTACATACATAGTTATAGGTGTGTGTGTGTGTGTGTGTGTGTGTGTGTGTGTGTGTGTGTGTGTGTAGAGGATGTGCATTTTCTGCATGCATTCATGGGTGTGTAAATGTGCAAGTATACATTTGTGTGTTTATGTGTGTAAAGTTGTTATCTAGTTTGCATTATCTCAAAAGATTGATTACCATTCATCAAATATCTTGATATATAAAATGCACATGGAATTAGTTTAACATGATATCTTTTTATGCAGGGCCTTTCTCACGAAAATGTGAATTTCATGTGCTGAGCTTAGATAGCTAAAATCAAATAGCCACAAATGCACAATCAACTTTGCAGTATTGGTCTTAAGGTTTACAAAAATGATTGACCAGCAGTATATATATTTGGCATTCATCAATGGACTGCAGGGATAGACATTAGCGCCTGTTGGACAGGTTGGATTGAAAATCGGACAGGTCAAATTTATGAGCACCTGTCCGAAGTTAGTGCCTAGACTTGGGACTGTTATCACCTTTGACAATAAAACAAAACAATAAAAGAAACAAAAAACCTCAGTCAAGGCAATTAAAATTTGCTCAAGGGGTTTTGTTAAGAGACCAACAAAGAAAAAGGTCATTTGCCTTTTTGATTCTTTATGAAAGTGCAACTTAGTTGACTACTTCTTACTAGACTACAATTATAGCTAAAAAACTGACTTAAGAACTTTTGTTAAACAGGGCACTGGTATAAACGTGCTAATAATCAAACAAAACTAATACCTCTTTTTTGTTTCCTTCACCAGGTGTTTTGGCACCCTCCCACTAAATCATGGTGCATGTTAGCTGTTCTGGCCCAGAAACACACCATCCTATTTTACACCTCAGTAAACCTGATAGATTGGACCCTGGCATCAGAGTTCATCCCATCTCCCAGCACTGGCGTCAGCATTGAGGGAAACTGGGAGTGTCCTGATTTGTTCCCGCTGAAGGTGATAGGGGCAGGTGAGGTGGTGTTCAGAACAGTTATTACGATGAGGTTGGGGGGGGGAGGGGTGTGCACAGTGGGAGTGGGCCCTTCCCTCAGTTCTGCAGGTATCTCCCCTCCTACTCTCCCCCTTCTCTCTCCTAAAAAGCAACATAAGAAGCAAAACAAGACTTTTTTAGATTAAAATCTATTTACCGATTTTAGGTATATGCAATTTGAAATAATTTTAAAGCATGGTTTGGATCAAATAATACCTCAAATGATTCATTTTTTTCCTTCTGTTATAAATACAGGTATATTAATATGTATAATTTTATTAAACAATCATATTATTATACTGTTGTTAACTTTTTTGTTGAATGTATTTTTCCTAATGTTTTTTCTGCTTTACTTAGTTTATCACAATTTGTCAGTTTCCATAGTTTTGAAATTTTAGAACATTCTACTAAGAAATGGAATATATCATCCACAGAAGGAAAATATTTACAGACATGCTAAGAAATCATTACAATACATTTATTAAGATATTTCCCTGCTGTCATCACACATAGATTACAAGCCAAAAATATTATATTACAGCATTTTCAAAATGAGACTTAACCAAGCAAAGTTTACTAACACTTGTCCTTCAAATTATTATAAAAAATGATCTTCTCTTTAATATTTGTCTGCCTTTCTACCCCCCCTTAAAAAAATAAAATAAATAAATAAATTAGTAAATTAAAATAACAAAAATCCAGGATCTGCCTTTGTATGATCTCTGCTTACATCACTTGAGTTACTTTGCCTGTTTGTTAGTAGAAACGGTATGTCAAAAAGTTCTTTACAAATTTTGATGAAATATTTTGGATAGATAATTTCACTGGAACATTTTGTATTGTATTGTATTGTATTGTATTGATAGCCAATCAAATAAAGTGGATTCTGAAGGTGGACACCAGTGGCAACCGCACAGAAATGTCCAGAACTGGGGCCCAGTACTTCATAGGTAAGTGTTAATGTACCATAAGATGACAATTTTCTGTCCATTCCTTTCCTATCCTATCCTATCCGATTCTATCCTATCCTATCCTGTCCCATCCTATCCTATCCTTTCCCATCTTATCCTATCCTATCCTATCCTATCCTATCCCTTAGATTGGTTGACCATTGGGATGCCACTTGAGAATTTAGGCGACCAGTTCTCTCTACTCCCACTAACACATTGAAAATGCAATAAATAAGTCAACACAAAAAGTTGATGGTACATTTTGTATCATAGACTGTTTTCACATTGTGAAGTTAATTTTTCTGTTTCTAACCATTAACATATAATTATGATAGCTGGGGAAGGGGGAGGTCTCTGTTTAGATAACTCCCTTAGGGACCATTCCCATAGCATACTAGCAGGATTGTTCTATTTCAAAGGGGTTTCTTGCTAAATTGCATTTAGTTTAAGCGTGCACAAAAGTTAATTACCACCTAGCAGCTTTAGTGGGCGTGACAGACATTTAAGCCACTTAAACTGAATGCAATTTAGCAAGAACCCCCTTGGAGTAAGATCGATCCTACAAGTACAATAGGTTGATGGCAACCCACTCTTACATAATAGCCTGACCATTAAGGTTCAAATCTCTCAAGCTGGTGTGAAACTGAAAACTGTAGAGCACAGTGTGGAAATGGCTCTGAAATGCGCTCTGTATATTTCGTCCTAGGGGAATTTAATGGTACCCACTTTGTGGCAGGAGGAAAGTCTCAGTGGCTGGACTCTGGGATGGATTTCTATGCCTCCAATACCTGGAACAATAGGTACAGCCATGATGGAAGGATGATTATAATTGGCTGGGCTTGGTAAGTGCTTTGTCATCATGAAAGATACATTGGTTGGTTTCTATAGTAGGGCTGTTTTGGTGCATATGTATATTTGTGTGTGTTTGTGTCTGTGTAGTTTTTTTAGTGTGAATGTGTGTGTGTTTGTGTTTGTGTCTGTTTATCTGTTTTTAATTATGTTTGCTATATATATATATATATATAGTGTTTGTATATCTGTGTGTGTGCATTTGCAGATGTTTACAAGTGAGACACAGTCTCATCCTGGGTGTGCATGATATGTGTGTGTGTGTGTGTGCAACACGCATGTGCAATAAGGTATTTCTTTTGCTTTTTTCGTATTTTGTGTAGCAGTAATAGAATAACCGTCATGATTTGATTTTGAAATTTATTTTCATTTTTTCTACTAGCAATTGGTATTACTCAGAGAACATCCCCACCTCTCCTTTCCGAGGTATGATGAGTATTCCGCGGGTCTTGTCTCTGCTGCCGTATGGGGATGGACTGCGCCTGGCACAACAGCCAATACAGGAGCTGCAATCTCTGCGCGGTGACCCAATCACGTTTGCTCCTAACCCAGTTGTCACAGTAAGTGGGAGACTGATGTTATCTCAAACAAAAACAGATATGTAGTTTGAATTGTTTGCTGTGTCTGAAGCTGTTTGATAGTGTGCTACTTTTTCACTGTGGAGGTGGGAGAAATCTCACTACTGTTCAGTCTCTTTAATTAAGTTTTTAGCGATAAGAACCACTGAGTGGGACAAAATATTTTTTTAATAAATTTATGTGACAACAACATCATCAAGCTGAATGCCAACAGGTTGTTGTGTGTTGATGCCCTGTGAAAGATTCTCACTCATGGTTGTCCTTGAAAATATTTTGTTCCAAAGTAAGTTATGATTATCACTAAAATATTACTTAATAGATGCCCTTCGAATCAAGAACAGTCCAATGGATAATGCCCAGTCTTTGTTATAAACAGCTGAAAGTTTAATATGACAGTCTTCATGCTAGATTTACCAGAAAGGTGTGATTGATACTCATATATGCTACCAAAATACTGTGTGTCAAAAACATTATTGCCATTACAGCCATTGGGTAAATCCCATTAAAAAGTAATCAGTAAAACAATCTAAGTTAGTTTATGTTTTTGTCATTTTTGTCAAATTTTACTAGACAAATTTATTTATCAGCCATTTTTTAAACCGTTTTTTGTCCTCCTTCCCTTTCTTTCAGGCAGAAGGCTATGCAGTGCAATTCAACACAAATCACGTAAGGTCTCTTGAAATTTTCCTCAATGTGACGGTGCTCTCCAGAGACGAGCTGAAGGAGTTCGGTTTAAAGCTCATGAAAGGTCCTAGCCAGGAACTTGTGATAGGATGGAGATCTGATGACCAATCTTTTTTCATAAACCGCACGGCATCAGGGATCGTGGACATGGCGCCTCATTTTCCTGTGGTGAACTGTACACAGGTTCCGCTGAATCAAGATGGCCGAATGTGGGCACAAATTTTTCTCGACTGGTGTTCCGTGGAGGTTTTCGTTAACGGAGGCGTTGTGACCTTCACTGACCTTTTCTTCCCAGATACCAACCAGGACATTATGGAATTTTATTGGACAGGTGCCAAGGACGCCATCACATATGACTTGGGTGGTTACGAGATGACTTCCATTTGGAAAAAAGCAAAGAACTGAGAAGTGTAAAAATTTTATTCCCACCATTAGATTCAGCCAATTTGGTCATAGACTTGGATCAGTCGTCAGTGAGTAGCAATTCACGTCAGTCGCATGAAAGTCTAAGACCAGGTTAGCCACAAGGTAACAGTAGGAACAGTAAGAATCTTTTATGATCCAACTAACTAGCCAGTGAACTTTTGCTCATTTATGAAATATTCTCATATTGGATGGATGTGCATATTATATTTTCATCTTTTTAGGGTAAATATAAGTGTGGGGTAAAGAGATTGAAAGAGATTTTATTTTGAAAAAAAAGTGCTTCAGGATGAAATCTATTTGGAAAAATTAAGAGTATAAAGTTAAAAATAATTGAGTGGTAGCAGGGTTTTATCCTGATATTTTCCTGCTGTTCAGTTGCAATTTTTGACTTTGCTGTTACATAACTACTATATGTACAGATAAGATTGGGAAATGGCAATAAGAGTATTAGATTATGTTTTTTGATTGCTACATCTTTTTATGTACAGACACAGATGTGTCTGTACATATTGCCATCACCTGCGTCTGTCGTCGCCGTCGCCGTCGCCGATGCCGATGCCGGTGCCGATGCCGATGCCGTCGCCGTGCACTTTCCTTGTAAACACGATAAGTGGAGGGCAGTTTTACTTTTTGGTTTCATATTTACAGAGCTGATGAATATTCATAAAACGCAGGTCAAGTTCGAAAATCAGCATGATCGGGCCATTATTGTAGAAGTTATGCTGTTTTTTCACTTTTCAGCATATATGCAGCCCCGTAAACACATTTTTAGGAAAACCATTAGGCCTGTTGTCATGAAACTCACAGGAGTAATCAATCTTACTAAAACACAGGTCAAGTTTGAAAATAGGCATGATCGGGCCACTATTTTAGTAGTTATGCTGTTTTTTCATTTTTCAGCATATATGCACACTGTAAACACAATATAAGAAAAACAGATAGGCCAATTGTCATTAAACTCATAGGAGTGGTCAATCTTACTAAAACACAGGTTCAGTTCGAAAATCAGCATAATCGGGGCATTATTTTAGAAGTTATGCTGTTTTTTCACATTTCCTCAGATTCAACTCTTAGGCATGTAAACAGTCTCATTATTGAACTAATAAGATATGTAAAAGTGTTTGTTTGGCATTTCCTGCATCCTTACAACANTCAACTATGAAAATAACCCAGTTTTAGACCGCCACAGTGAGAATTTTAGGGATCCAAAGGCAAGTATGTGTACATACATAGGTATAAGTGTGTGTGTGTGTGTGTGTGTGTGTGTGTGTGCGTGTGTGTGTGTGTAGAGGATGTGCATTTTCTGCATGCATTCATGGGTGTGTAAATGTGCAAGTATACATTTGTGTGTTTATGTGTGTAAAGTTGTTATCTCGTTTGCATTATCTCAAAAGATTGATTACCATTCATCAAATATCTTGATATATAAAATGTACATGCAATTAGTTTAACATGATTCCGTTGTATGCAGGGCCTTTCTCACGAAAATGTGAATTTCATTTGCTAAGCTTAGATAGCTAAAATCAAAAAGCCAACTATGCAAAGTCAGCTTTGCAGTATTGGTCTGAAGGTTTACAAAAATGATTGACCAGCAGTACATGAATTGGACATTCATCAACAGACTTTTATCACCTTTGACAGTAAAAAAAATAAAAAAATAAAAATCTTAGTCAAGGCAATTAAAATTTGCTCAAGGGGCTTTGTTAAGAGGCCAACAAAGAAAAAGGTCATTTGCCTTTTTGATTCTTTATGAAAGTGCAACTTAGTTGACTACTTCTTACTAGACTACAATTATAGCTAAAAAACTGACTTAAGAACTTTTGTTAAACAGGGTGCTGGTATAAACGTGCTAATAATCAAACAAAACTAATACCTCTTTTTTGTTTCCTTCACCAGGTGTTTTGGCACCCTCCCACTAAATCATGGTGCATGTTAGCTGTTCTGGCCCAGAAACACACCATCCTATTTTACACCTCAGTAAACCTGATAGATTGGACCCTGACGTCAGAGTTCATCCCATCTCCCAGCACTGGCGTCAGCATTGAGGGAAACTGGGAATGTCCTGATGTGTTCCCGCTGAAGGTGATAGGGGCAGGTAAGGAGGTATTTAGAACAGTTATTATGATGAGGTTGGGGGGGGGGGGGGGGGAGGGGAGGTGCACAGTGGGAAAGGGCCCCTCCCTCAGCTCTGAGTATCCACCCTCCTACTCTCCCTCTTCTCACATCTAAAAATGCAACATAAGAAGCAAAACAAGACTTTTTTAGATTAAAATCTATTTAGCGATTTTAGTTATATGCAATTTGAAATAATTTTAAAGCATGGTTTGGATCAAATAATACCTCAAATGATTCATTTTTTCCCTTCTATTATAAATACAGGTATATTAATATATATATAATTTTATTTAACAATCATGTTATTATACTGTTGTTAACTTTTTTGTTGAATGTATTTTTCCTAATGTTTTTTCTGCTTTACTTAGTTTATCACAATTGGTCAGTTTCCATATTTTTGAATTTTTAGAACATTCTACAAAGAAATGGAATATATCATCCACAGAAGGAAAATATTTACAGACATGCTTAGAAATCATTACAATACATTTATTAAGATATTTCCCTGCTGTCATCACACATTGATTACAAGTCAAAAATATTATATTACAGCATTTTCAAAATGAGACTTAACTAAGTAAATTTTACTAACTCATGTCCTTCATATTATTATAAAAAATGATCTACTCTTTAATATTTGTCTGTCTTCCTACCCCCCTCCCATTAAAAGAAAACAAAAAATAAATAAATAAATTAATTAATTAATTAATTAATTAATTAATTAATTAATTAATTAAAATACGTAATAAAAATCCAGGATCTGCCTTTGTATGATCTCTGCTTACATCACTTGAGTCTGTTTGTTAGTAGAAATGGTGTGTCAAAAAGTTCTTTACAAATTTTGATGAAATATTTAGGATAGATAATTTCAGTGGAACAGTATTGCATTGTATTGCATTGTATTGCATTGTATTGTATTGATAGCCAATCAAATAAAGTGGATTCTTAAGGTGGACACCAGTGGTAACCGCACAGAAATGTCCAGAACTGGAGCCCAGTACTTCATAGGTAAGTGTTAATATACCATAAGATGACAATTTCCTGTCCAATCGTTTTCTATTTATCCTATGCTATCCTATCCTATACTGTCTTACCATAATCCTATGCTATCATATCCTATGCTATCCCTTAGTTTGGTCAACCATGGGGATGCCACTTGAGAATTTGGCGACCAGTTCTTTCTACTCCCATTAACACATTGAAAATGCAATAAATAAGTCAACACTAAAAGTTGATAGTACATTTTGTATCATCGACCGTTTTCACATTGTGAAGTTCATTTTTCTGTTTCTAACCATTAACATATAATTATGATAACTGGGGAAGGGGGAGGTCTCTGTTTAGATAACTCCCTTAGGGACCATTCCCATAGCATACTAGCAGGATTGTTCTATTTCAAAGGGGTTTCTTGCTAAATTGCATTTAGTTTAAGCGTGCACAAAAGTTAATTACCACCAAGCAGCTTTAGTGGGCGTGACAGACATTTAAGCCACTTAAACTGAATGCAATTTAGCAAGAACCCCCTTGGAGTAAGATCGATCCTACAAGTACAATAGGTTGACGGCAAACCACTCTTACATAATAGCCTGACCATTAAGGTTCAAATCTCTCAAACTGGTGTGAAACAGAAAGCCATAGACGAGGATATGGAAATGGCCCAAACATGAGCCCTGTATATTTTGTCCTAGGTGAATTTAATGGTACCCACTTTGTGGCAGCAGGAAAGTCTCAGTGGCTGGACTCTGGGATGGATTTCTATGCGTCCAATACCTGGAACAACAGGTACAGCCATGATGGAAGGATGATTATAATTGGCTGGGCTTGGTAAGTGCTTTGTCATCATGAAAGATACATTGATTGGTTTCTATAGTAGGGCTGTTTTGGTGCATATGTATATTTGTGTGTGTTTGTGTAGTTTTTTTAGTGTGTATGTGTGTGTGTTTGTGTTTGTGTCTGTTTATCTGTTTTTAATTTTGTTTGCTATATATATATATATATATATATATATATATATATATATATATATATATATAGTGTTTGTATATCTGTGTGTGTGCATTTGCAGATGTTTACAAGTGAGACACAGTCTCATCCTGGGTGTGCATGATATGTGTGTGTGTGTGTGTGCAACACGCATGTGCAATAAGGTATTTCTTTTGCTTTTTTCGTATTTTGTGTAGCAGTAATAGAATAACCGTCATGATTTGATTTTAAAATTTAATTTCATTTTTTCTACTAGCAATTGGTATTACTCAGAGAACATCCCCACCTCTCCTTTCCGAGGTATGATGAGTATTCCGCGGGTCTTGTCTCTGCTGCCATATGGGGATGGACTGCGCCTGGCACAACAGCCAATACAGGAGCTGCAATCTCTGCGCGGTGACCCAATCACGTTTGCTCCTAACCCAGTTGTCACAGTAAGTGGGAGACTGATGTTATCTCAAACAAAAACAGATATGTAGTTTGAATTGTTTGCTGTGTCTAAAGCCGTTTGATAATGTGCTACTTTTTCACTGTGGAGGTGGGAGAAATCTCACTACTGTTCAGTCTCTTTAATTAAGTTTTTAGCGATAAGAACCACTGAGTGGGACAACATTTTTTTTAATAAATTTATGTGACAACATCATTATCAAGCTGGTTGTTGTTTGTTGATGCCCTGTAAAAGTTTCTCTCTCATGGTTGTCCTTGAAAATATTTTGTTCCAAAGTAAGTTATGATTATCACTAAAATATTACTAAATAGATGCCCTTGGAATCAAGAACAGTCCAATAGATAATGCCCACTCTTTGTTATAAACAGCTGAAAGTTTAATATGACAGTCTTCATGCTAGATTTACCAGAAAGGTGTGATTGATACTCACATAATATGCTACCAAAATACTGTGTGTCAAAAACATTATTGCCATTACAGCCATTGGGTAAATCCCATTAAAAAGTAATCAGTAAAACAATCTAAGTTAGTTTATGTTTTTGTCATTTTTGTCAAATTTTACTAGACAAATTTATTTATCAGCCATTTTTTAAACTTTTTTTTGTCCTCCTTCCCCTTCTTTCAGGCAGATGGCTATGCAGTGCAATTCAACACAAATCACGTAAGGTCTCTTGAAATTTTCCTCAATGTGACGGTGCTCTCCAGAGACAAGCTGAAGGAGTTTGGTTTAAAGCTCATGAAAGGTCCTAGCCAGGAACTTGTGATAGGATGGAGATCTGATGACCAATCTTTCTTCATAAACCGTACGGCATCAGGGATCGTGGACATGGCGCCTCATTTTCCTGTGGTGAACTGTACACAGGTTCCGCTGAATCAAGATGGCCGAATGTGGGCACAAATTTTTCTCGACTGGTGTTCCGTGGAGGTTTTCGTTAACGGAGGCGTTGTGACCTTCACCGACCTTTTCTTCCCAGATACCAACCAGGACATAATGGAATTTTATTGGACAGGTGCCAAGGACGCCATCACATATGACTTGGGTGGTTACGAGATGACTTCCATTTGGAAAAAAGCAAAGAACTGAGAAGTGTAAAAATTTTCTTCCCACCATTAGATTCAGCCAATTTGGTCATAGACTTGCATCAGTCGTCAGTGAGTAGCAATTCACGACAGTCTCATGAAAGTCTAAGACCAGGTTAGCCACAAGGTAACAGTAGGAAGAATCTTTTATGATCCAACTAATACTAGCCAGTGAACTTTTGCTCATTTATGAAATATTCTCATGTTGGATGGATGTGCATATTATATTTTCATCTTTTTAGGGTAAATATAAGTGTGGTAAAAGGGTAAAGAGATTGAAAGAGATTTTATTTTGAAAAAAAAAGTGCTTCAGGATGAAATGTTTTTGGAAAAATTAAGAGTATAAATTTAAAAATAATTGAGTGGTAGCAGGGTTTTATCCTGATATTTTCCTGCTGTTCAGTTGCAATTTTTGACTTTGCTGTGACATAACTACTATATGTACAGATAAGATTGGGAAATGGCAATAAGAGTATTAGATTATGTTTTTTGATTGCTACATCTTTTTTTTTTTACTATGATATCTCTCAGTTTGTTGACAAGCAGAAAAAATTGTTGGGGGATAAAGTGGTTTTTATGCAAGTTGGGTATTTTAGAGCAAGAACAGTATTTTATATAATGTTTTCTCAAGAAGTGAAATTGTAATAATTTATAATATTATATAATAATCCTTGATAGGAAAAAAGGAATAGAATATGGGTTATTGATGATTTTATGTTATCAGCTTGTATTTTTGAGTCATTTGACATTTATTTATCTATCTTTTTATCTATTTATTTATTTATTTATTTATTTATTTATTAGAACAGTCAGTACAGGAGCTTGTCATTGTATACATTCCTAAAACATTATCTTGCCATCATTCTTAAGTCATCAGATAACATTTATGGGGCTTTGCAAAGATGTAAGGTTATAAAATATTGTTACTCTGTCTTCCATTTTTCTTCTAAGCTTTTCACAGCTGGCAAATAATTTAGGGCTTCATTTGTTTGGAAGACATTAAGATTTTTTCATAGATCTAAGCCACTGTGTAAAGATAATGGGCAAAACAATATTTTTGTGCAATACTTAGGTATATCACACACAGCTGATCATGAATATGTTTGTTTGTGGATTATACAGATTTATATGTGTGTATTTGGCATTGAATAGAGATTTAGTTGACATGACTGTGCAGAGAAAGCACTTTTTATATAAATTATGAAAGAATAATTTAGGTATAGCTTGAGATGAGATGCTGGACAAAAGTGGTGTTCATACCAAATCTCACTTCAACCAGTAATATGTATAATACAACAAACCTGTTCTCACCAAGTTTAATTTAAAACCAAAAACAGACAGATGTTAATTCTGATGCAAACATGCCCAAGATGGACTGGAGGACTGTGATAAGGTTTTTGCACATATCATGTTGCTCTGTTAGTATTTGTATCTAAGAGACCATTCCCAGAGACTATCGTACTAACTTTGGATCGATCTGTCTCCAAGGGGGTTCTCACTATCCTATCAACTTAAGCGGCTTAGATGTCCTACATGCCCGCTGAAGCTATTAGAGGGTAATTAACTATCGTTTAGCGACTTCAGTAGGCATGCCAGATATATAAGCCTTTTAAGCTAATAGCAATTTAGTGAGAAACCCATTGAAGATGGGTCGATCCAGTTAGATCAATCTAGGCATGGGAACCCAGTCTATGTTTATGTTGACTATTTTGACTGTTCATTGAAGTACAGTATGGCCCATTGGTCCCAAATCCTACAGGACATTCATAAAAGGGTAGCATGATTGAAGAACAGGTGTTATGAGTAGACTTGAGGTGGCCTGAGATTCAGAGGTTGCTGGGGACTCTTCTGTTTTTATGTACAGACACAGATGTGTCTGTACATATTGCCATCACCTGCGTCTGTCGTCGCCGTCGCCGTCGCCGATCATGTCGCCGTCGCCGTCGCCGTGCACTTTCAGCGTTAACACCATAAGTGGAAGACAGTTTTACTTTTTGCCTTTTTATTTACAGAGCTGATGAATATTCATAAAACGCAGGTCAAGTTCGAAAATCAGCATGATCGGGCCATTATTGTAGAATTTATGCTGTTTTTTCACTTTTTAGCATATATGCAACACTGTTAACACATTTCAAGGAAAACCGATAGGCCTGTTGTCATGAAACTCACAGGAGTAATNCAGTTTGATTTTGTATAGTATTTTAGTGGGGCTGTGATATTAGAAAGTGCAGCTGAATACATGTCTTCTTTTTTTGGGTAAGACTCCAGTCAGTGGCAGTACTTTTATAGTAGACTCGCCACTTATGCCCAGTTTTGGTGAACCTATCAATGCACATTAAAACTGGGTTGCCATAAACCTATCATACTAGCAAGATTGAATTCTGGAGGGATTCTTGCTAAATTGCATTCAGTTTAAGCGGCTTAATTGCCTGTCATGCCCATTTTAGCTGCTGTGGGGGGGGGGGTAATTAACTGCAATCAAATTAAGCAGCTTAGATGTCTGTCACATCTACTGAAGCTGCTAGGAGGTAGTTAATTATAGTTTAGCAGCTTCAGTAGGCATGCCAGACATCTAAGCCTTTTAAGCAGCTTAGCGAGAAAACCCTTGGAGATAGGATTGACCTTATTAGATCGATCTAGGTACGGGAACCCAGTCTTAAATCGGGGCATAAGTATGATCTGCCCCTGTGCTACAGTGTATTCCATGCGCACATTTTAGATGGAGAAAGTCAAGATACTGATATGAAAATATGGTCTTTAGTGCACATATTATTTTAACTGCACTGTGTGTGAAAGAAAAAAATGCCATAATTGTCAATAGACTCAACTTACTTATGGCTTGGGAGTGCCACCCCTTGTATTATATAATAACCATTGTAACAGTAAGGGTACAGTACTTTTCACTTGCACGATGGTAAGGGTCGTTTCATTTTTATTATAAATATATTTACACTGAATTTTATCTCGAGTATCAAAATCTCAAGACGTCATCATTGGGTGGATAAATCATGCACAGTTGTGAAATTTTACAGTACTTGCCATACTGTTTTTATCTGACTTTCCTTGCTCCTTAAGAGAATAACAATAAATATATATATATTTGCATTCGCTGTTGTTTTTATAATATTTGAAGAAAAAATATTTAATGCCTTAAGTTGTGAGGGTTAAGATCTTTTCACGAAAAAATAAGATCATTATTAGATAATTCAACTGGCGGACTTTCGTTGGACTTTGCCGTTTTCATTGTCTTAACTCGGGTTTGGGTCACATGGATTGATTCCATATTAAAGAACGATAACTTCAGTAACTGGTTTAGATCGTTTCGGCTCATTCCGTTTCATCAATACGGAAATCGCCCCAAATTAGTCTAGTTCTTCCGTCATCCATTGAATACCATGTAATCGGGATCGTCGGAGTCACTGTCCACACTCCACTGTCTCCTGCTGCGTTCTGGTAAACAAAAAATTGCCGTGTATAAATTGATAATATTGATAATAGTTAAAGTGGTTATGTATATTAAATATTTAAAGTCACTTATTTTGCCTTTTGTTCAATTGCTTATTTCAAATATTTATGACAAAAACAGCAAGTAAATATTTGATTAGTATGATTAATAACCATATGTGCAATATTACTTGCTACTTTCAAAGATTTGCGCCCCTTTTTTTCTCGTCAGAAGAGCCTAGTCAATGAACCAACGGATTAATTTTCCGTTTCATAGTACTTCTGCCAACGAACCAAGCTATATTTTCATCATCGCTACATGTAGTTTGTAGACTAGATATCTTTTAAAAGTCCTCAAATTGTGATTGAATTATTGGGATAGTCATTTATTCGGGAAGGAAAAAGAGACCACCGTTTTAACTGGATTTGAGTTTCCCTGTATTTTTCGAAGAAGCCATATTTCTTACTTTATTTCGTTATTATTTTTATTTTCTCTTTCAGTAATATCTAGTTGATTTTTAACTGAATAAAATCTATTCATCTCAAACCATCAGCGATCATGTTTTTAGTGTGAAAGCAATACCAGCCAAGATAAAGCAGTTTAAGCTGCAAACTTCGTGCGATTCCGTCACACAAGACGGAGGGCGGAATCAGCCGAGGTTCTCCGAACTTACCAATACTGTCCAGAATATTAGGATCACTGCACGACCTATAGAGAGGATGCTCCTTTGGGCTCAAGGGATGTTCAGATTTAGACGAAGGAATGCGAACTGGGCTTACAGATATGCGACCATTTACTGAAAAAAAAAATAAATTCATGAGTGTACCAATAATGGCTCTTCAGTGTTATAAAAATACACAAAACCAAATGTCTGTCATCATGAATTTTTAAAAACCGAAATAAATTAATACGGATGATGCCTGTGAATGAAAGATCTTCCTGTAAAGTGAAAGAGATGCAGGAATGAGCAGATATATCGTAAAATGGCTTTTAAAGGATACAGTGCGAGTTAGACATTCATATAAATAAATGAATGACAATTTTCTTTGGAATTCAAGCTGTTTTCACCTTCAAACAAAAAACAATGCATAAAACTAAGTTTGGTGATAAAGAAAAATGCTGAAACGTCATACGTAAATATCTAACGCACATGGCATGCCTTTAACCTTTCCGAACGCCAAAAATATACTGTTGGAAATACTTACTTTGACTTATAGAGAGATAACTTGCTCCTGATCCTGAACTCTGACCCGTTCCCGTCTTGTTCTCAAAGTCTGACGGTGACGGCATCTCCAGACTGACTGGGCGGGGCTCCGCAATCGAACGTCTTCTCTGGATCACTTGGACTAAAATGGACAAATCGATATTCATTTTCACTGATTTAAGCCCAAAGTTCTAAATATAAGTGTAATTCGTCAGTTATAATCCCCATCGTGCAACGGCCAAAATACAGTGATGCTGTTACCAGATACTTCCTTTGATGTCTGCATTGGGACAAAAATATCTGAAAAGACTTTCTCTTGCGTATTGATAGCTTTCTGTGCAAGATCATTTACCGCTAACATCCGTCTGCTTTTAAATAACACAAAGACTTCGAGAGAGAGAGAGAGAGAGAGAGAGAGAGAGAGAGTGTGTGTGTGTGAGAGAGAACATTACCAGGTTTTATTTTCAGGTTCAGTGTGAGTTTATCGGGTCTAGGGGGAGGCTCTGGCGTTTGTTCACCTGGTATGGCATATTCACCTGAACCTGAGGATTCTAAACAAATCAAATAAAATATGTATATCAAATAGCCATTATAGGAGAAGACAGCGGGCACGTGCCGCGCCCTTGGCTTTAGAGGTACCTCCTCTCTAATTAATTAATACATAATTAAGGTGCTGTAAAAATACACAATTTTCAATAATAATAATAATATTTTTATTTTATCATCCTATCTATAGAGACCATTAAAAAACCTCTTTCATCCCTAAGCCCTATATTACGCGGTGAAGTTGCCTTCGCACTCTATCCATTGCTTCATACTTGTGCCCCCTAAACCAAATGCTGGTGGTATTGATTATTTTACATTCAGTCTTTAATATAGTGCCATTTTTGTTGACTATCTCTGGTAAATAAAGGAGTGTTAATTTTCGTGGTGATCGCCACTCGTCGCTAGGTGTCTGACAGCCAATGCATATTATACACTTACCTGACTGGCGGTATTTGTGGGTGATTATCATGTAAGCGACGCACACATATTGTTTAATATATAGGCCTAATATTACTGTTTTATAAAAAAAAATATTACTGTTGGTTTCTTGCCACATTGGAGGATGCTACTGTATGAAATAGCATCAATCATGGGACAAGTCAAAATTGTATAAATATTACACAAACCGTGAGCTTCACTGACGTTATTTAAAGAGTCGAAGGAATCAGCCACATATCACATACCGGTCTGCCACGTGGTATTAGATCTTTCTTTAACAGGGAGAGGTTGAGGTGGTCGTCCGCTGAGGTGTTTCCTCTGAACCGGTCTGGAAAACTCCTGCATCAACAGCTCTTTACTCGGAATATACTGATGGGTCTGGAAGGGATGATACGTTGACAAGACTTAAGGTAACTATTTTTTACTGAATGGTTAAACCTTACTCCACCCCTACACACACGCGTGCGCGCACACACACACACACACACACACACATACCACGCACACACATATAGGCACTCGCACATACATAGACACTCCCACACGCAAACACACTTGGAATTTGCTTCCTATAGCCTGTGTTCATAATTTGATGCTGCACATACAAGTATTATTACGTGCATTACAAACTATAATAAAAAATACCTAGTACACAAAAAATAATCGTCCTAGTACAAGCCTAGATATAGTAAAATATAACCCAGTGACTTTCATATTGAAGCACCTAGCAACATTAGCCACCCTGAGTGTGAAGTGTAAAGACATGCTGAAAGCGGAGGTTAGATTACCGCTTTATAATCACTGTGGCTCAGGGTGGCAGTATGAGATAACGCTAAATAAGACTGGGTTCCCATACTTGGATCTGGATCGACCTAACTCCCTGGGGGTTCACACTAAATTGCTATTAGCTCAAGAGGCTTAAATGTATGTCACGCCTACCGAATCAGCTAGGGGTAAAGATAATTACCGCCTAACAGCTTTACAAGGCGTGACAGACATTTAAGCCGGTTATTTTGATAGCAATATAGTGAGAGTCCCCAGGGAGATAGATCGATCCAAATATCTGTGGGAATGGTCCTCTACCTTGAATGTGTAGCCGACGTCTATCTCGCTGTATTTCCTTGGCCTGGGTAACTCGATCTTGTCCGATAAATTGCCGACCACTCGCGCGCTGTCCATTTTACCTGGTGAAAAAGAAGCCTGCGTTCACATCTGGGCTAAATTAGACAGATAAACGTGTATAACTTACATAAAATAGACTAACAAATATATTACTGGACTTACAATTTGTCCAGTTGATGACATGGCGTCCCCCTCAGCCGTTCCGTTCCCCTTAGAATACAGGGCCCGGTTGCACCAACAGGGCGTAAATTTACTCGGCTACGACTGTCGTAAACAGCAACGCCTGGCGTCCGTGCGCCAGGTTTACTCTCCCTGCTTACGCCCGTTGCACCAAGACAAAAACTGATCGTCGTAACTACGCCCGAGTAACGCTCCGTTGCGCCACTGGCCAANGGGCCCAGATGAATTATTCTCACCCCTGTTTCGTACTCTGTGTCAAACTGTTATGATAAACAGATTAATCATGTATACCGAATGCGTCGTCAACCAAACAAAACAGAGTAATAGATTTAAATACGAATTATTTTATGTTAAATATAACTGGTTGACTCGCATACTGTACATAGTGTATAATTTAATTCAACTACGTAGGGTGCTAGTCAGGTTCCATAATTTTCCATTAAAATAGTATAACTACGAAATGGAAACAAAAACATCCAAATTTCCATCCTGTGGCCTACACGGTACATTTAAATTACCCTCGTCTGCTCAAAATGAACCAGTAACTTTTCCACATGTCTGTCCAGAGCATCGTCATCAGGGTCTTCATCTTTACATTAAACACACACACACACACACACACACACACACACACACACACACCTCCGTGCCCCAAAGTCCTGAATCCACCAATGAAAATGCGAGTGTGCGGCTGTCACCGGCCAAATTTCGAACATCATACTTGAGATTGTTCTCTTCTTTTTAATAGGTATGCCATATTATTTTTAAAAGTCGGTCAAGATCAAGTAGACATAAATATATATATTGAGACACGTTACTTTTAAAGGAGCCCTCTTTAGTCTGACGCGTAGGTGTACTTCTCGGCATCAGCACGGTCACCAACTGCTGCTGGGCCATAGCCACGTGCAAGCCATTCTCGTGCAGGACTCGGTTAGCTTCGGCCAGCACCCTGACTGCCTCACGTGCCTTGCAGTGCTGTGATAAAACATCAGTAAGCTTCTTTAGAACATATACATAGGGAATTTAGCTCTTAAAATAAACAGGTTAGTTAGGGTTAAGTTTTGAACACAAATACAATAAGTAACTGATAAGCATAAAAATTAGGAGTTTGGAAGATAAAATTGTAATGACGTTATATTTATAAGCAAGTGCATTCCTTGATTATAAATGTCCCTTTAATCTCTGTACAGCAATATAAAGCTGCAGTGCTCGTACCTTATTTATGTTGAGAGCATCCGTTTTGGCCTCCAAGTCCAGCTGACTTTCCTCTACCAGTGATTTAGCCTACATTAAAAAAAAGATTCCATTGATAAATTTTTGACAAATGCTCAACAATTTTGCCCTGTAAGACAACAAGCGATACATCAGATCTCTCCTTATGTTGACTCATACGGCGTGGGGCAACACCCCACCCCACCCCATTCCCGCACCCCACATGCCCAGGGGTTGTTTTCGCCCTCTCTTCTTCGTCCGTCAACTTTTAAAGTCGTCCTAAGTTCCAGAGATTACTTCAAACTCACTTCAATAGTCAGCCTTTTACTGACAACGGCAGAGGTATAATGCATTGGCAACGAGTTGCCAGTACTCGCTGAAACTCAGGGTGACAAAGGGTTTATTTATTTATTTATTTATTTTTATTTATTTATTTTTTTGCCTGTAGAATACTCACTGTGGGTAGTGGGCAAAAGAGTGATTTAAATGAAAACATTAAGTTTGTTCCAATTACGTATCGCCAGGGAAGTTTTCTTACCTTTATGTATTCTAACTGCGTGCTTTCCAGTTTCCGACCCTCTCCTTTCTTCATCAAATGATCCAACTGGAATCACAAACGTTTGAGAAGTATGCTTTACTAGATCTTTGACACCTACTGACGTCCGCACATAGTCCATTAATACTGATAAAAACTGATAAATATACTAATTTCATTTTACTCATTGGTTGATGTAGAGG